CACAATAAATGACAGCAACAGAAAGGCGAGTGGCAGAGGAGAGAGAGAAGGGAGTGAGTGATAAAGAGGCAACACTGAAATGAGGTCAACAGTCACTCCGTCGCTGTTACTGGGCGCAGGCTGCAATAGCAACAAGGTTATTGAGATCAGAATTTAGCAAGTAAGCCCGTCTTTTTCATGATCATCCCCTCCAGTATGATGCTGCGGCACGTGGCTTACAACGTCCACGTGTGTGGCATCGTCTCAGAATGAGCATTCTCGGGACTGTGGGAGAAATGTTTGACAGTCCGTGGGTTTTTTTTCTATGTAATTTTTCAATTCAACACATAGGATGAATACCAAACAAGACATTTTAAGGAAGTCACTTGTAATGAGGGGTGGGTGGATTTTGCAACAAATGGTGTAGGTTCTGTGTCGAGAGATTCTAACAAGAACAAAGAATGTTTCAATGACACATTTTCACGGGATGGTTACAACCTTCCCCAGACAGCTGGGAGCCTTTTTTTTGTGCCTTTGCTGTGTAATTATTTACACTGAAGTCTTCAAGCTTCACCGTCATCAATGGTATACATTTTGTGATTGTCAAGCTGCATTCCAAACAGAATGATAGATGATAAGCACTGAGCGAGTTACTTCAATAAAGCCTTCGCTGCAGTCAGTTTTTTCTTTATACATTCCATCTTCCAAAAACATACAGTACATTTGGTTTGGCGAGGCTCATTGAATATAGGTGTGACTGTGAGTGTAAATAGTTGTTCATCTATATGTGCCTTGCAATTGGCCGCAGTCTTTAGGATATTTCTGATATTTCTGATTTAATCCTTGCCCCCGGCAAGGATTAAATTTAAATCAGATTTAAATTGTAAAGAGCTTTTTTTAACTGTTCTGGAAATAAAGCTGTCTTGAAATATCTGCCCAGAGTGGGATAGGCTTTGCTAATTTGTAAAAGCTACAAATCATTCTCTGTCAAAAGGTGAAATCCATCCTTTATTGTGGCAGCCAAAAAAAAAAAAGCACAGTAATTAGCCATTGCATCAAATTTCACAATGGCACGCTTGGGCATTTATAAAGGTGCATGACGGGACAGGAAAACCATATATTGGCACTGGTCCCATCGACAATAAACACATTTTAAATGCACCCTTATCAAGTTGGTTTGTTTTTAATTCGAGTCCAATGTCCTAAAGATTTTATCAGAGTGGTGAAAAAGAAGATGATGCAAAAGAAAACACAGAAAAATAATTGGCATTAAACAGGCTACATTTGGATTATATAAGCCCTCGCTAGCCCCAATATAATCATACTGACATAGATCATCGCCTGCAGGCTTTTTATTTTTCCACATCTACTTCACGTTCATCATTGATCACTAAGGCCAGAACAGGCAGGAGTTGAATGACCTGTACTGTCCTTGGCTTGACTGCATCATCCAAGCGTTTCCATCTATAAAGAGGTACTTCCAGGCATTTTGGACCTCATGAAAAAGTATCCCTTTGGGCCCCAGTACGTCACGGCCGCCAATTGAATGACTACTTTCTCAGGCCCCGTGTCACTATGAGCCTCCAGAACCGTCGTTCCATTTATTCCCTCTCAATATGTATCTATATTTGTAATCCTAGTCACATTTTCCCACAATGTCAGGTCATTGTCGCCCTGCCTAAACCTGCAGGCTGGACTGGTTGCAAGACAGCAGACATTATGCGCATCATCCGAATCCAAATACGAACGAATGCTCTTCTCATTCCTCTTTCTCGCTGCGTATCTGAAAACAGACAGACACTGCTCCCTAGTGGCGGTATTGTGTAATACAAACTACTTTACATGACTATGTCCAAGTCCAGTGCTGTACTGCACACAGTTAACATTTTGCCAATGGGTGTTTTTGCATCAGATACCCCGCTGGGAACATTTATCAGGTGATAAAAACTTTTTTGCTTCTCATTTTGACGCTTTGTCGTAGGTGGTTTGGTAGCCTTTAAATATTTGTCGATTAACTTCGAACTTATGTTTTGCCACGTCCTTTCGGCAGAATTTTCTTTTTAGTAGTTTTGTTTCATCTGATCGTCATGGTGGTCTGTATTTTATTTTATTTTTTTAACAGTCAACATTGTAATCGCAAGAGGGTAAAATGTCATTTGGGGTTTCTGTTCAAATGTGAATAAAATTTGCGGTCACTTCAGATGGCGCTTCCTAAAGGCGTGTTCCGGAATGTCCCCGTATATAAAACAATTTGTGCTCAAGAAAATACAAAAATGATCCTAGTCTCATGGTGGTTTGAGAACTATGTTGAGTGAAATTCATGAAATTAAAATCTTAAAACTCAGCTTCAAATGCATCTGATCGATTATCAACATGCAAGTGAAAATCCCAGAGAATAATCCATCCATCCATCCATTTTCCGATCCGCTTATCGTCACAAGGGGGGTGCTGGAGCCTATCCCAGCTGTCTTCGGGCAGTAGGCGGGGGACATCCTGAACCGGTTGTCAGCCACTAGCAGAGCACACAGAGACGAACAACCATCCACGCCCACATTCACATGTAGGGACAATTTAGAGTGTCCAATCAGCCTGCCGTGCATGTTTTTGGAATGTGGGAGGAAACCGAAGTACCCGGAGAAGACCCACGCAGGGAGAACATGCAAACTCCACGTAGGGAGGTTGGAGCTGGAATTGAACTCAGTACCTCTGCACTGTGAAGTCGACGTGCTAACCACTGGGACACCGGGCCGCCCCCCTAAATAATGACTTGGCTATATTTGTTATCGATACTGTGCAGTATTTGCGAAAAATCAGGAATACATGACGAGCGGTCCTGAGGATGCCCGTGTCCGAGTTTTTTTAATAACATCCACTCAGTTCAAACCAATGCAAAACACCCCGAATATTAAGGAAAGGAATTTAGATGTGATGAAATTGATGTACTGTAAGTGAGTAGAAGCCAAACCAGCAGCATCAGATCTTTAAGATTGTGACTTTTTATTTGACCACAATGTGGTGTCTCCATGACACCAGCGTCAGTCTTTCGTTAGGTCATGTCCTCAACATGAGGGAATGATTGCATGTCAATAAATCTCCGTGTTTTATGATTGTGTAAATAAGTTGAAAAACAACCAATAAAACCACCCTTAGATATCATAAAAGTGGAGTGTCAAGCGATGTCTCTGTCTTAGGACCTTTGAAGTTTTCTTATTTGCAGGCTTGTCATCTTTGGGCAGTCGCCGATACAAATGTTTATAGTGCAAATACACGGCACTGTTAAATTCCAGTGTCTGTCTGGCGGTCGTACAGAAAAACAAGCAAAACACTGAGAGAAAAATCTGACAGTTGGTAGAATCATCAACCGACTGGATAAAGATCAAAGCAGCACTCTGTGCAAGCAACATCCTGCACACACGCTGAGCAAATGTTCTGATTTATCCAAGACTGCAGTAAAGGGAACAGACGCATTGACCGTATTGTCTTCTGTCGCCCTTTTTCTACAGCATGTGTGTGCAGGACAGAGCACAGGGAATGAGCTCACTCGTAATGACTTGATATCATGAAACTTATGAAATCAATGACGTGCAAATGCTATAAGTAGAAATTACTTTCTTGCACAAGCGCTGTGACTGATGCTGACGCGATGCAGAATTAGGCAGTTTGCTGGTTTATGGGTTTCGTTCCAAAAAAAGAGAAGCGGCTCATATTCTATCTCAAGATCAAAATATGTTTCAATTTCGTGTTACTGACACACAGGATGTAGGCCATCACGAAAAGAAAAAAAATTGTACAACTAATCCAATCTCTTCAACCTTTTTTTTTTTTTTAGTTCCCCTACAAAAGCCAATTTCTTTCTTAAAATCCACATCACTCAAAGTACCGGATTTTTCGCACTATAAGGCTCAGCTACAGACATTCCATTTTCTCAAAAGCCAACAGCGCGCCTTATAATCTGATGCTCATTATGTATGGATAATAGTCTGATGCCTTGGACGTGATATTTTAAATGTTTTCTAAAGCGCTTTGTTCCAGCCGCCGTAGTGATTAAGCTCTGTATAGATAATGGTGTATTGTATTCCTTGTGTGAGTGTGAGCGTGGATGGTTGTCCGTCTCTGTGTGCCTTGCGATTGGCTGGCAACCGGTTCAGAGTGTCCCCCGCCTACTGCCCGAAGACGGCTGGGATAGACTCCAGCACCCCCCCGCGACAATTGAGAGGATAAAGCGGATCGGAAAATGGATGGATGGATGGATGGATATTATTACGTTTCATCCATTTTGCATGTAATGACTTACACCATGAACTAACACGAAAATGTTGTGTGGCATGAGACAATTGAAATTCATTCTAATACATTTGATCAACATGACATAAGCAATAGATCATGTCAGAAAAAAAAGAGAATTTTACATCATCATTTGCTTGGCTGCAGCAAAGCATTTGCAAATTGTCCAAGAAATGAGAAATTGCTTTTTGGATGTGCAGAAATGATACGCTGATGTGAAGATTGAAGAAGTCGTTTTGAGAAATTAAATTCTGATATGAGGAATAAAAATAAAAGAACAGTTCAGAACATTAGCGGTTCTGCAATACATGAACAAGATTGGTGACCCGGTCCTTTCTCACATCTCCCTGGTACTTTACGTACTCCTCATGTCTAATTGAGTAATGATGTCTTAAGTATTTCTTGAGCACTGCAAATGTACATTCAAGACCTACCCAGATGGCCCAGTGCTTAAAAAACAAAAAAACATGAATACTATCCTCCTGTTTTTTTTGTTTTTTTTTTAAATTGACTGCTCTTGCCGCCAGCAGGTTTTTGAAAAAAACATAACTGGGACTATGTTGGCAGGATATCATTTCCTTCCACCGTGTGTCACTTCAGCATAATTACCAATACTGTAGTCGAAAGATGCCCATAAGTAAAAACACACACACACACACACACACACACACACACACACACACACACACACACACACACACACACCCACCCGACCTCCCCAGGAAAACAACTTGCGGGTGAAGGTGTGGCCTCACAGGAGCAGCAGCACAACATGCAGGTGGAGGGAATAAAATGTGATCGGCGCCACTGTCTGCTCGGTTACCGCTAACGACAATGACACCAAAACTTCTATTCTGGGTCCTCATCCTAAATGCCTCACTCAAGCTATCGGGTAAGTTTGTGTAATGTACTCTTCATTGTGCATGAGCTAATTAACAACTACTGCCTCGAATGTGCCTCTTCTATTTCCTTGAGCTGTCTGTAAACTGTGATCTACTTCCAAAAAGTATTTTCTTGAAATCATTGAGCACCATGAAATTGTGCACGTTTCTGCACATTGTGTAATAGATGACAGCTCATGATAGCCCATTTCAATGTCCTCTTAGGGCAGGGGCGCAAACTCATTTTTGTCGCGGGCCACTTTGGAGTTACATCTTCCCTTGGAGGGCCGTTACGACAGTGAAACCAAATAAATGCTGAATCATCACATCGCATTATTACTTGTACACACAAAAAAATGATGGCTCACTAGTTTTGAAATCAGTCATGTATTTGTTCAGTTATTGCTCAAGTGAGTGTAGACAGGGTAACAAACTTATTGCAAAATGTTACCGACATTTATTATGTATGACAATTTGAGATTTTGGTACAGGAAGTTGACACAGATGGTTTGCTTTCGCGGGCCACATAAAATGATGTGGCGGGACGGATCTGGCCCCCGAGCCTTGACTTTGACACCAGTGTCATAGGGTGACTGACAATAAATATGATGATGAAGTTAAAAGAATAATGCTAATAATGATTGCTGTATTAATGTAGTGAACTTGCCAGATCAACTCATACTAGTCAAGCAAATATTCAGAGTGAAATGAAGTTGCTGTCAAGGCATGTTTAAAAAAAAATCATTTTCCTCTTTTTTTGGTGGGGTAGTGGAGGGAGTCAGTATCACATCCGAATATTTGTGGCCCAGCATGTTCTTGGTTTTGTTTTGGGTTTTTTTCAGAGTATCGTTTCAGTCAAGTTTCTTAATCCATATTTTGTTCACATGTTGAAGTTAGATTACATTTTCCATGATGTGTCCAGCAGAAAATACTACCTACTTATACCAATACGACCTAACTGCCCACCCCGCACCCTTTTTGTGTCGTAAATTGGGGGAAAAAACAGTGTGTTATAACTCTAACCAATATATGTTGTCAAACTACAGGTATGGCGGAGTCCTAAAACTATTTAAAAAGCCAAATGACGTGCATAGTACTTTTTTTTTCTAGGGTACAGGATTTCTTAGTGAAGGCAAAGGGACTGTTAATATGATACTGCATATATCGAACTTTTTTTCACAGTATTGGTGACAACGAGGACAAAAATAGAGTGAGATGAATGTATTTTGGGCCTTTTGAGTCACGGTGGTATCAATGGAACTGCCCAACAAACAGAATCAAATTGGCACTTGCTGTCGCTTTGGAACCCTCCACAAGCCTGGAAGTCACCTGCCAAATTTTCCCACTAAATTTTTCACAGTAGCGTATGTCGACTAAAAAAAAAAAAAAACGAAAAAAAAAAATCTTTGCTGCATGTCAGTGCATGTGTTTTGAGATTTCCAGTCTCGAACATATTTTGATGAATCCTTGATGCACCTTTGTCCAGAAACTCTTTGTCCAAAAAAATCAATGAAATCTACATGTAGTACATTTTCCCAGTGTTATTGGAGACGTTTTAAGTAATAGACATTATTATTGAGAAAGGTTCAGTGCCGACAACATAAAAAAAAAAAAAAGACAAAGCCATAGTTGCAACGGTCTCTCTACCTTATCGTAATTTGCCACATTACTTAGCATTTTTGCTAATCTTCCGAATATGATATCGCATCATCAATTTTGCCTTTGTTTGGTGACAAGCACCTGCTCATTTGCTGTATTGCTGCAGAATAAAGCAGACATCCCCGTTGATCCCTGTCCTTAAGGCTCATGGAACTGCAGAAACAAATTGAGCAGTGTTGTCGTGATGATACTCAATATTTGTTAAGAATGAACCTTCTTTTGATTTTTATTCCCACCCCCGGTTTTCAGTGATTTTTTTTTTTTTTTTGGAAGAAATGATTTGCATCTATTTATAACAAACAAAAAAAAAAAAACAATGCATTTCAATGGCTGTCAGTTATATGGGGATTGTCGCTATTTACAGGCCATACCGGTCCGCTCCCTCCTGCAATACAATTTTATGATGTCTCGTGCCCTCATTTAGTGTTCAAATATAATAATACCTAAATGATCGGGATGAGCAGTGGATTATTTGCATTTGATAACAGATCATATGATTGGAGCACCGTATAAAACATATTTGATTGGACCTCATCACAATACTTGTTCCATCTCAACAGACAACCATACTCCTGTCTTTGAGGGCGGAAAGGACTATGAGCTCGTTCGACCTGTCAGACTTCACCTTGTCAGAAGAAGAGACACTGGGGTGAGCAAACAGTACAAAGTACCATGCAAATCCTTCAGCCTCATTAAATGTTGCCGTTTGAAGTTACAGTGACAATATAGATTGGATGACTTTATAACAAACAAAAAAAAAAAACAATGCATTTCAATGGCTGTCAGTTATATGGGGATTGTCGCTATTTACAGGCCATACCGGTCCGCTCCCTCCTGCAATACAATTTTATGATGTCTCGTGCCCTCATTTAGTGTTCAAATATAATAATACCTAAATGATCGGGATGAGCAGTGGATTATTTGCATTTGATAACAGATCATATGATTGGAGCACCGTATAAAACATATTTGATTGGACCTCATCACAATACTTGTTCCATCTCAACAGACAACCATACTCCTGTCTTTGAGGGCGGAAAGGACTATGAGCTCGTTCGACCTGTCAGACTTCACCTTGTCAGAAGAAGAGACACTGGGGTGAGCAAACAGTACAAAGTACCATGCAAATCCTTCAGCCTCATTAAATGTTGCCGTTTGAAGTTACAGTGACAATATAGATTGGATGACTTCTCGGGAGATTTCTTGGAATACAATCAGAAAACACATAAAATAGAAGATGATGGAAAGTGGTCGGTGTGCCTCATTCAACTAGGTCATTTCATTCTGAAAAGCACATAATCGATCCGGCGCTGTCTTGACTTTGTGGTATGAACTGATGAGAGGAGAAACGTCTTCTAAAACAAGTCGAGCTGTCCACTTGTGATCGATTCAAGGCCATGACAATAGTTATGGTTGCGTTTACTGTTTATCCCCCTTGTTTGACACTTATTTGTCACGTACGGTACATATTAGCAGTTGTGTAAGTCAGATGGAGTAGAATGACATGCATCAGATTTGTTTTCCCTCATTTTCTTCCTCTGCAGAACCTCAGGCCAGAGACCATTAGATATGCCATGACGGTAGAAGGAAGAGACCTTGAAATGCACTTACAAAAAAACAAGTAAGCAATGATTTCTTCGATGGGGGGGGCTAATGTTTCGAGTGGAATTTATTTAGCCATAGTGGTTGAATGCTAATGCCCAAGGAAGCGTGTAAGTGGCCGTCTGTCGTACTTCCTGATTTTTGGATTTTCTCACAAATATTCATGTTGTGTTTCACATCCTTTTTATATTCTTTGTCGATGCTATTAAATATATTTAAAGCTGCGCTTTTGGTCAGCACTGAGATTCCCCCCGACCCCCAGCCCATATTACTCATGCTACTTCCATGATTTTGCACGAAATAGCACGTCATATATGCTAGTCATATATGACTGATAATATCATATGTTTTTATTTTCTTTATCAGTGACTTACTTACTCAAGACTACACTGAGACCTTTTACCAAGGAGATGGCAAACAAGTCACCACTTTTCCAAATGACATCGTGAGTATTTATTGAATATAAAGGCTTGTGAATTATTCACCAAATGTTGGATGCGTGCAAAGAAAAAAACAAAAAATGAAATCGGGGTGTCATCAATGTAGGTACGACTTCCCTCAGAGGGCTATTATGAGTGTCAAACCAAACATTTCATCTCATCATCACATTTTCACATAATGATGGTCAACTAGATTTGAAAACAAATGTTGCCTTTGTTCAACTATTGTTGTAGTTACTATAAAAGTGAGTGTGTTAACAAAAAAAAAAAGCTTGCAATATCTCAGTGGTATTCTTTGTAATGTGGAGATTTTAAATTTCAGGAAATATTTGAGCAAAAACCACATTGCGTCCCACATAAAATGAGGGGTCAGGCCAGATGTGGCCCCCTGGGCCTTGATTCGGAACATGTTCCAGAAACTAATACATTGTCTCATCATTATCAGGATCACTGCTACTATCACGGGAAGATTGTGAACGAAAGTGACTCGGCGGTTAGCATCAGCACGTGTGACGGACTTCGGTAAGCCCTGCAATTACCATTCAATTTAATGGACAACAATCATACATTTGTGCCGCGAAAAGGAATTCATCTATTATAATTTTTACGCTTTTTTTCCCACCCATAGATTTAGATTGACTTGTTGGTTGTATGGATGCTTGTCCGTCTTGTGACCAGCTACTGTGTTTTTTTTTAAGTTGCTTGGTGGATGTTGTGCAATATCCACAAATGTGCTTTCTTGATTCTGACAAGCACGGTGGTCAAGATTTAGGAGTGTGCCGGTGACATTTTTGTCCATGCCTGGCACACGTTCCTTGTCCCAAAGGTCTTTAAAGAGGTTGAAAAATCAGGGTTCTATCCGGGTCAGTGGACTTCTTCCACAACAAAATTGTGTTTCCATGCCTTTGTGCACCTTGATCAGTCTGCCATGCTGTCTTTTCAAAAATGTCTTACTATAAAGTTGGGTGCATACAATTGTCCAAATGTATGAATATGGTAACATCACACATTTTAACCAATCTTATGACTTTTGCCCATAGTATTCGTAATTCGGCAAATGTATTTTTTAGGGGTTATTTCAGGACATCAGCCCAGAGGTACTTAATTGAGCCCCTCGCTGGCGATGATGAGGGGGATCACGCAGTGACGAAGTTCAACGAGAAGGACTACACACCCGCAGTGTGCGGTGTCACCAACACAACATGGAGCACAGATTTCGAGCCCCCAACAAGCCGCAGTCGCTCAAGAAAAGCGGTTCGCAAACCACTTCCATGACACTTACACGCAAAGGCTCTGCTGCGGCCGTATGTGAAATTCACGAGATAAAATTCATGGTCTAACTCTACCATGGAACTGAAGGCAGACGTTGCATTTTATAGTTGTCTGCTGCCACAGAGATTCTGTTTTTGTAGGCGGATACAATCAAAATTGGTGTCTTTGTGACTGTACATGAGCACTAATCTTCTGAATCTGTTGTCGTATTTCAGGGTATATCGATTGAGTACCAACAGAAGTACATTGAGCTCTACCTTGTTGCTGATAACCGGGAGGTAGGACGACACAGAATGTCACCACGAATACTAGGAAGCATTTATTTTTTGGGGGTGGGGGGGCGTAAAGTAGTTATGAGTTTTTCTCACCTTTTTATATGACTGCCAGTAAAACATACTTATGCATACAGGCATACATACTCTTTCATACATCCTATTTTTGGATTTGCACATGCAGTCTTCCTTTTATGAGTAATGGGGTGTGAACCTGCTCTCAAATGGTAACCTGGTTTCAGTATGTGAAGCTGAATCGGGATCAAACGGCCCTGAGGAAGAGGATATTCGAAATCGTGAATTATGTCAACCTGGTAAGTCAATGCTAATTCAAACAATGACCTATACAGTGATCCCTCACTATTTCGCGGTTCATTTATCGTGGCTTCGGTGCATCGCGGATTTTTTCAAACATATTCATAAAAAAAATAAATAAATAAATAAAAAAGAAAAGGAAAAAAAAAAAATTAAGTCTGCAAAATGTCCGCAAACGGTCTGCGAGAAGCAGCGAAAGTCAGCAAAACAACAGCCAGTCACATAGAGCAACATATACAGTTCTACATATGCATGTTTACTGTATTTTGTTATTCATACACTAACCTAACCTAACTTATACATGTTTAAATCTATTAGTATACAGCATGAAGTAATGTTAATTACTAATAAATGTAATTTACTTCTACATGCATGTATACCATTAAATTTGGCCTGATAAATATTTTTTATACTCATACACATGTACATGTACCTATATGGGGGGGGGGGGCCCGCTACTTCGCGGATTTTCGTTTATCACGGGTGGTTTCGGTCCCCATTGACCGCGATAAATGAGGGATTACTGTAACGTTATCTTGTCTTTACTCATTCTATCCTATCTTATCTTATATGAAAAGGAGTGTTTGATGATGTTGGTGACCTCACTTTGGCAGGTGTACAAACCCCTGAGGACCTTTATTGCTCTTGTTGGGCTGGAGATCTGGTCCAATGGTGACTTGATCTCCATCACTCCTCCAGCTGGAGCTAACCTAAATGGTTTCATGACATGGAGGAATTCTGTTCTGGTCAAGAAAAAAAAACATGACAATGCGCATCTTATCAGGTTAGAATGGTTTCCATTTAAAGAATCTGTACAACGCTAGTGTGCGATTTCGTGAGTTTTTGGAATCACCAATGCTGGAGTCGGGACAAATCATGCCCGAAAAAGCCTTTCGGTGTCAGACCTATGGAACAGCAATAAAATCTATCCATCTCATACATCTCTTTAGTGCTAAACAAAAGGGAAGCTTGACTTCCTCCTGCCATGTATTGCTATGTACAAGGACTCTGAAACTGATTCAATTTGACACCTAAACAGAAGTGTCCTACACACACTCAAATTTTACTTTTCACAAACATAATATATGACAACAGACAGCCAGTCTCGCTTTATTGAGCTCACATGGGAAATATTAAAAAATTCTAATTCCAATGAATACAATCCCATCCTATTTTTAAAAAGGATGAGGTTGGGAAAACCTACCCTCTGTTCAAAAGATGTTTGTTTGTATTTGTTTTTTTTCCATTTGTCTCCAGTGGGATTGACTTTGAGGGAGCAACGGTGGGACTGGCGTACATTGGGACGCTGTGTTCCGGTCATTCTGTTGGAGTTGTGCAGGTGAGCCTTTGGACAACTGTTCAACTAAATATGGTGGGATGTGCCCGCTCTAGTTTAAATACGAAGGACACGTTGGCAGACACATGCTCCATTAAGTGCTGATTGCAGCCTTTGACTGACCCGAGCATCAGATGTGAAAGAGGATCGGGCAATTCATGTGATCTCAAAAGACAAAGAAATAATTTGAATGCGTACACATGAATTATGCAGTCGAGTACGCATGTGAAAACAAAATGCTTCAAATATTGACCCGAATAATCGACATGCAAACATTTCAAACGTATTCAGTCGATAGTTGTTCTCCCCTTTGAAATAGCAAACAGAGCAAAAATAGCTAAAACTCTTGACTGGTTTCAATTACAACTAATAGTTCACATTTGGCACAAAATCCCCCCCAAAAAAATCAGCCATTTTGCCAATGTACCGTGTCATTGGTATAACTCCATCATCCGTCCATTTTCCAAACCGCAAATCCCCACTCGGTTTGCGTAGCGTGCTGGAGCATATCCCGGCTGGGTATGTATGAATCCAAAGGGGGAAAAAATGTTGCCTTGAAAAAAAACAGACAGACATTGGTCTCTGAGGAATGCTAACGAGGGTTTGACTCTCACATTTTGGAATCACTATATTCTTAGTATCTTTGCATTTATCTTATGATTTTGCAGGAAACCCATTTCATGAAACAAAACGCTTGCTTTCCTACCACAAGATTGTGCATAAGGAAGTGGATACTTCTCATGAATTGCAAAACATGCCCTTAAAAAAACAACATCACAGTTATTGGAATATAGAAGAACAAGACAGATTGAGGAACCTCACTGATGTTGACATCGAGGAAATTGACGCATTGGTGTCTCGCAGGACCACAATAATCGGGCCATTGCCGTGGGAGCCACGTTGGCCCACGAGATGGGCCATAATCTTGGCATGAATCATGATGACTCCAGTGCTTGTATCTGCCCTGGTGATAGCTGCATCATGGCTGCGTCCCTCAGGTAAGGAACCTCTGAGATGTGGCTGCATTCACAATGCTGGCAAAATGCAGCGCGGATGTTTACTCAACAGTTAACTATTGGCAAGATATGTCAGTGTCGCAACACGCCATGACGAAATCGACATGTTATCTGTTGAATATGAGGCATGACAATTTACATCCCTCTGTCGATTGCTACAAACACACCTTGTCGCTGACGGTACTAAGCCCAAAATATGTACCGGTATGTGTAACATACCATGTTGTTCATTTACCCAATATACAGTCTAGGGTACATCAGTGACAAAGTGTTAGTCAAGATGCTACTTTACTCATGAGCCAATAATCAGGCGTAACACCATTTCGTCACAAATGTGCCAAAAGCAGAATTCCGCAATATATTAATCCTTTCATGCCCCAGTAATGATAACCTGTAACCTGTCCACTGTCGTAATCGCTGTCCCTGAAAGGTTTAACACTTACTGAGGGATACACAGACTCGTCTACCCGCATTGTAAGTAATAACCATTGTATTTGCCATTCGTACTTGTAACACGGCACATGAGAGACAATTACAGTATAGCAACATGTAATGACAAAAGCAGCATATTGTCGACAGAGAGGCACAGGACAGCCTTTCTGGATTATAAAGAAACCCTTAGCTGTGTCAAGTGCCTTCATGAGCGTAATCAATTTTATCAATAATTAGCCACGTAAAGATTACTGTTTACTCGATGCATAAAAACATTTGCAACAAAATATACATGGATTGGGCATATGAACGTTATCAATTAATGAAAGAACCCCACATTGTCCATCGACACTGCCGTATTGGCCCGAATATAAGATGGTGTTCTTTGCATTGAAATAAGACTGAAAAAGTGGGGGTTGTCTTATATTCGGGGTCTAGACATTGTACCCATTCACGACGCTAGATGGCGCCAGATATCATTAAAGCGAATGCTGAACTTGACTCCCCAGGCCAAAGTGAACCCCTGCCACAAGAATAAAAATAAAAATAGCGGTAGCATTAAGAAGAAAAATAAAAAAATAGCGGTAAGAAGGTAAAAGAGAAGAGATAACAGAAAATGGAGAAACGTAGTAACAATCTGGAGAAAAGTGGGTCGAAGATCGGCCAGGTTAACTGGCAGCTGATGAGAAGTCATGATGTAATTTACATTTCAAAAACCATAAGCCATTCATTTACAAATGTGATTTCGCTTCAGATTTGAATGTGGCAAAATAACATGCTTTTTCTCTCTAATATATTGTTATAATCATTTGTTTCAGATGTACTGTAATTATTTTCTGTATAAAAATTAATTTGGTGTTCAAAAAGTCTTTTTTCAAACTTGAGTCTTGAAAAAGAGGGGGTCATCTTATAATCAGGGCCGTCTTATATTCGGGCCAATACGGTATTACTATAGGTCCCCTGATTTTATTTATTTTAGTATTTTACAGTAACTCTGCTCTTGCTTGTATGTCATTTTTTCTACCTTCAAAGTACTCAAGCAACTTTAACACTGTTTTCTCAATCATCTACTGATGCCGCGTCATAACTGCAGGGGTTAGTATCTTGCTCAAGGACACTTTGACATGGCTTGGTGAGCACCGAGGCTTCCTCCCAGCTGGGGATGCCCAAACTCTTAGGCAGGGATCATTCTTCAGATCTTCTCCTGTGATATGTTTGATTGTCAGCATCACATCCAATGCCATAAGCACTCATGCCTTGTCTGATGGAAGAAGGCAATGCATTGACACAAATGGATTTCTGATCAATGCAATATCTGCCCTCCGTTCCACCAGCTGGGAAACCCCTCGCACTTTCAGTAGCTGCAGCAGCAGAGACTATAACAGATACTTGACTGGCCGCAGCCCAAGCTGTATGCTGGACAAGCCAGACTACAGGAGTCTGGTGGTGCCCTCTGTCTGTGGAAACGGTTTTGTGGAGAAAGGAGAGCAGTGTGACTGTGGCCCTGAAGAGGTAAACGGACACACCGGATTTGAATAAAGGCATCAAGCGAATCCTTTTCCTCTCCATCACAAAAGACTTTAGTGAACCTAACTTGTCCCTTCCGTTCCAGGTTTCTCTTTTGTCAAGGACCACATAGTGAATTTACACTGCATATCCAATTGCCCAAATTCAAATTGATGCCTATTTCTAATCGGATATATTTCCATTGAGATTTTAAGTCATAAATATCTGCTATGACCATAGAAGTTTGAGGTATGTGTGTCACAATGTATATACATAGAATATATATATAGAGACATATTTTTGATGCCCAAAATGCGGCTTTTCCCCTTCAACGTGGGTAAGACGAGCAACTGCGGCATTTGCTTCATTCACTGTAGGAAAAAAGGTGAACGTTGTGGCAGGGCAACGTAGCTGCGTTACGATGTGCCTGCTCTCAGTGCCTCGAGCATCCAATATCTGCTTTTCATTAAATTTTCATCAGCATTTGAAAGAGGACTGATTCTGATGAGAGCTAGTGTTATTTTTTTTAGGTATTTTTTTACAATGCCATGACTCACGTCCAAATTGTGTCACCTGAGAGCAAAAAAAATCAATCTGAACTGTGGCACTTGCACCACTTCGTGTAAATCCACCCGTTGAATGGTCGATTTGTATCGAGAGGTTATCCAAACTTTTCATGAACAGCTTCTCTGTCGGGAGCGGTGTTGTTATATTGTAATCTACCCCAGGGATAATGTTTTCCTAAAATAAGGCGTAGCACATTGCTTCGCATTGTCTGAGAGTTTGGTTTGGGTTTTTGCCCGAAGGTACCGTCAGGAGTCTGACATGAACAAACACATTTCCAAACCTTAAGAATCAATTGCTGGTTTGTTATTACGGTTACCGTAATGAGAGGTGTTTCATCGTGTCTACATGGATAAACACTGTGATTTAATTCCATGCCACTATAAATTGCAAACATAATAGCAAGCGCTGATACATTTATTTCCTTTTTATTGCTGTTAGTCAAAATATTTTTTTTATCTCTGAGTAAAAGCGAGAATTCTGACGCATTCCAAGTGATGACAAAGTTTTACATTGAGTCTGACTCGTGACTGGAGCTTCTGTAATCCTATTTGAATGGAATAAAGCTCAAAACCCCAGCGGCTTCTGATGGAAATATTTACTAGTTTTGATTAGTCGACTAACTACATTAAAAAAATGTCGACTGTCATCATGCCTCAGGAGGCATTCAAGAATTTGAAAAAGCAGACATGCATTTTCAGGTGTTAATGATTAGATGGACTGGTTTACTTATTGTCTTCGCTCATAAAGTGTCGTTTTAAAGCTTGTAACAAACCTCAGGGTGATTTGTTGCCATTTGGGTGTCTTTCTGAATGTTGTCTTGCTTGTCTATGACACCTGAAGAAAATTATTGTGCCTGCGCATTCCAGTGAAATTTCTGGCAAGCAGTTAACGTGTTCGGAGTTGTTCGTTGTAGTTGCGGGTTGCTATCAGCTAAAGATGGAAAGGGGAAGACTGCCACGATTATGCGTTTTTTTTTGTTTTGTTTTGTTTTTGTTTTTATCTGCTTCAAAAAAGCATTTCTGGCGTTCTGTCTGCTGATCTTGTTTGGACAGTGCCTTCAGTCCTACAATGATTGCAACGTCTTTTGATAGGAGTGCACCAACCCATGCTGCAATGCTACCACTTGCGCCCTAAGTGAGGGTTCCCAGTGTGCTGCAGGGGAATGCTGTGACAAGTGCAAGGTGAGCAACGTCGTACAAATGTAAGGCAATTGCTGTATATGATGTGGTGCAGGCTGCAATGAAAATGATATGAAGCTCAAAGCATCCAACAGTCAATTGTTGAGCTATGTTGAGATGTATTTGATGATAATCATGCCCAATGCAGGACTGTACACATTTTGAGTCCATAGGATAATGATATTTAAAATTGTACGAAAAGCCAGCACATGCAAAAACATGTTCATCTGCAAAGCCTATGGGAAGATGAGGTGAGAGTCGCTTCAAATTCCCCAAAAAATCATCCTGTGTGGTCAATTTCCACTGGAGATTTAAAGTTTTAATGTGGCCACACGTGAACGTTAATGTGATGTCACAAATGTCTTCAATTTGGATGGGCCGGCGTAATGTTTCGGGTCAGTGTGGTGAAGGGAAAAAGAACAAAGGAAAAAGTCACATCCACGCCGTTGCTACGATATCAAAAAGGCTTGTTGTTTAGTCTCACAAAAAGTGCAGTACGAACAGCGGAATCAACCACATTTGACCCCACGTCACGAAAATGAGTCATGTAGATCGCGAAACGGGGCCGACAGCAATGAACACCCTTCTCGGACCAAGTCTCTGCATTGGCTGGTGGGGGCTCTGGGTAGCAAATTATCCAGAGGCCGCCCAATGACATCACTTGTTGGCGACACACCTGAATAAGGACCCATCTCTTTCAGCGATTATAAGTAAGAGATGGGAAGTGATGTGCGTGGCTGTCGTGTCTGCTGCACAGTCAAAGTTTCTGGCTTTGAATGTACTCCTACGGGTTTTTCTGTGGGCACTCTGGTTTTCTCATCCATTCTGATTGTTAAGGTCATTTGAAGAATCTACAGTAGATTGCCCATTGTTATTAATTTATTTTTTAAAAAAGAGAGAGAGAATTTGAAAAACAATTTCAAAAATTAAAACGCAGCACGCTACCCGAGACTTTACCGAATGAAATTATCACAAAATGAAAACAAAATGTGGCCCCATGTTCAATACTTTGAAAACATTGTCTACCAAATGCTTGCTCCAGAAGTCAATGGAAAAGTGAGAGGATTTGAATTAGTGGAATTCAAATTCTTTTTTTTTTTTAGCGGGAGTGGGGAAGCTTGTACAAATTTGAAATTAACATTCATAACCAAAGTATAAGATGATCATGATAGAGCTGCAGTCGTCACTTTGATCCTATTTCAGGATTTCGACAATATTCCCAAGTGTTGGGGGAAAACAACCAGTAGCGAGATATGTAACATTTTTTCCTGTTTTAAATGATGTGTTTTTCTTTTTTAGCATCAAGTGATACGTCACCCATCTGATAAAACTGAACATTGTATTGCTGTGAGAACCGTTTAAAGGGAATATCCAACGCAAACAAGGTTTTCATTGCGGGTTTGTGAAAGGGTTAACCTCCAACATCATTCTGCAAGACGAGTCACAAAATTCCAATGTCCATCCATCCACCTGTTTATCCAGCTTGTCTCACAACATCATCCAGCTGGACCCTTCTCGAGCTTGTCCTCATTAGGCTTACGGGAAAGAAGCGGGGTCAAGCCTCGGCACTGACGTCAGCCAGTCATAAGCCAAACAAAGTCACAGTAAAAACAAAACACTCTCTAGTGATTGTATTTTCAGTGTTCTGGAAGCTAAATTGGCCAAATGCTTCGTCATGGGGTGTATTAACTTTTCCTTAACAATATCTCGGAAGAGCTGTCATTGTAAATATGTAACTCGCGCTCCAACCCTGGCAGTGTGGCCCCACCCACTGGGTCCGGTTGGTCACTGCACCCTCCCCATCACCACAATGCTAGCGCTTTGTAAAAGAGAAAGGAATTTTAAAAAATGGCCGAATAACAAGCAATCGGTCCTGTTGTTTCCAAAGATACTTCCACGATCTTGGGAGTGTCGGACGAAGCAGGATGAGTGTGATCTCGCAGAATATTGTGATGGTGAGAACGCCGCCTGTCCTGAGGATGTATTCAGTGTCAACGGCTTACCGTGCGATGAAGGTTCTGGTTACTGTCATAACGGCCAGTGTCCCAAAAGATCAGACCAGTGCATCAAATTATACGGACCAAGTAAGTGCCAATCTTCCTTGAAGTTTGAATTGCCGATTGAACAAAACATTCGGTTCGGATTTCCCAAGCACTTGGAGCCGCAGACCATAAATAGCAGGCTCGCTTGTCATCAGGTGCTATTGACGCTCGTCCTTCCTGCTACAACCAGAACACCAGAGGAACTTACTATGCCTTCTGCAAACGTCCCTCAAATGATCGACACATCCCCTGCCAGCAACAGTGAGTGGTCTGCCTTTGTGAGCGGAGTCACTGATAGTAAACTTGTTCATTTTTGCCATGCATACATTTTGTACTCGCACTTGCATCAGTAAAATCACTGCGCTCATTGCAGAGATGTGTTTTGTGGCAAGCTCTTCTGTCACCATGGAAACGACAACCCAAACTATGGTCGCATGGTGAGGATTGGTGACTGCAAAGCAGCTTTCTTTGGAGACTACACGAAAGACTACGGCCAGGTGGACACCGGTACCAAATGTGGGGACGGAAAGGTGACGCGTGGCATCAGTTGTTTTTTTTCCTCTACTCGATTTTCAGTGTAGTTCCAGTGTAAAAGTTAACAATTTCGGTTTCTAACATGAGAGTCGTGTTTTTTCAGGTGTGCAGTGACAATCAATGCGTGAGTCTTCCGGTGGCTTTCAGAAACACAAACTGTTCAGCAAAATGTCCTGGCCACGCGGTAAGTACCGCAATAACTATCGTGTCATATCTATCCTATAGACAACATTGCTGTTTTTGTTGTTTTGTATTTTTTATGCCCTTGTCCTTTCAACTCCTCAGGTGTGCAATCACAGAAGCGAGTGTCAGTGTGAACCCGGCTGGTTGCCTCCTTCATGCAGTTCCAAGGACAATGAATTCAGCTCTCTTTCTCGTGGTACCTGCAGTTATTTCGTAGAAAAAAAAACTTGGTCTGCCTGTATTAGAAGCCCGGGAACATCCATTTATAGCTTGCATCGAGGCATATCAAATGATCAGTTTTCTGTCTCTGCAGGATCGACTGTTGCCATCGCAGTGACAATTTCATTAGTGGTTCTGGGGATTATTGCTGCCGTTGCGGTCGTCATCTGGAAAAAGCGACAGAGTCCCATTTTACCAACGTAAGTCACTATCAAACATTTTATTGAACACAGTTTGGTCATGTCACTGTCAACAGAGCTTTGTGAATCCAACAGGATAAAACGTCATTTTTATGTAACAGTGCCCATAACGTAAGGAAGAAGCCGGCAGCGGACAGCTCCGCTTTCCATCTTAACAAAGCACCCGCTCCCCGTCCACCCACCCAAGTGCCGCCGGTAACGTTAAAATGGACTGTTTGATAAAGTTACCATGTGTCGTCATTGAACAAATCCTAATCACATCAAATGATCTGTCATCATTGTAGGCTAAGAGGCCAAAACCCAAAGGAGCTCCTCCTCCTCCACCTCTAGCAGCGGCAAACAGACCAAATCCCACAAGCCAAAATTACATGGGAGTCCGTCAGGTAACGCTCTCTTTAATTTCTTGCGCTGAGATAAACTGCCTGTTTGTCATCTACCGTGAAGCAGGAAATGGTCTGCTTATTAGCAGGTGGACAAACAAAGCTCAAATGCAAATGTCCAGCCTTGAGAAGGTATCCTTGGTTGATTTCCACGCTCTTCTCATTTACCATCTCATGAGAAATGGTCATTGCTGCCTAGCTAGTCCAACACGTGTTTTGGTGGCACAGTAACCGTCTTTATAACCGTCATAATAATCATTTTTATCATTCCAATACAAGATATACAGTAAGATGTTTTCTTTCTTTGCTCACTAGGCACTAAGGCCAGTACCCCCACCGAAGGTCTAACGGATGCCACTGCACTATTTCCAGTAATGTCCACCCTCTCCTTGGACCACAGTTATTTGTTGTGCAGGTTTTCTACTGCAGTGCAGTCGGGGGCGCAGAGGAGCTAAATGGACTGCCTTGAGTAGAGCACTGAAGACTGGACTCGCAAAGACTGTTCTTTAAACACATTGAGCTCTGCCATTTGATACCTTTTATTATGTCCAAACAACAGATACCTTTATTTGCCAGTGACTGTACTGAGGAAAAAGTAATTGTATTTTTTATTTTATTTTTTTAATCTAAGTGTATCCTCCACTGAATTTTAATGTTGTGGTCTTGAATTCAACAGCTAACGGTTCTGTATGAACCGTTGACTCGGTTTTCGTCACTGTTAAATGTAGCAACAAGAACAACAAATCAGCTTCATCATGCCAGCCTTTGACTGGTTTTGTTGATCGAGAGCACCTCATGTTCAAGTGTAATAATGTCTAATTGTTATCTTGCATTGGCATTTGATGAAATGGTGGAACGTGTTTGAATGTGAGCATATACGTATATTGGAATTAACAATCAAAAGGGCTTCAGCAAACTTTTAACACAAAGCTGCTAGAGTGCAAAAAAAAGATTACTACAAGTGGTGGTAGATATATTGAATTTGTTTTTTACCTCGTCAAACTAAGAAAACGAATTAAATGGGTTAAAGATCAACTACGATCAAGCTCAACCATCCAGTGGAAAAATATAATTCAAAATATGAGGTTAAAAAACAAATTTTCAAGGAGAGTACAATATTTTTGTGTAGATTGTAATGCACTGTAATGTGCAATGTTTACATCCATGCTGCTGGCTCAAGAGGTGCCATAAATGCTCATTTGTAGAAGACGCTATACGCCACCATTGATCCAATTAATAATTCACCTTCATTCGTTGTTCATACAATAACCCAGCCGCTGGGGGGCAGTGCCCTCCCCTGGGGGTGCACTGTTCCCCAGTGCCGGTCCCAAGCCCGGAGAAATGGGGAGGGTTGCGTCAGGAATGGCATCCGGCGTAAAACTTTTGCCAAGACGACCATGCGAGTTGGTAGGACGGTTTACAGGGGCGGATGGAAATTACTGACTCGCTGTGGTGACCCCTGAATAGGGAGGTGCCGAAAGGAGAAGAAGAAGATTCGTTGTTCATACAATATCCTCCTGACTACCAGTAGTTCAAATTTGTCCTCTGTAGAGGACATTTGTAAACCTAAATGTCTCCCACCCAGTGCATCCAATCGCATTACTCCTTTTGTTACTCCAAAGAGGACATTCAGTGCTTTCCAATGATACCAAATTTGTAGGGGTTAGAAAAAGTAAGAAAATGGCTTCCCTCAGTGCAAGCACTTTTTATGGGAAGAGGAAAAGTAATAATTTTTATCAACACATTTTGTCTTGAAATGCTGTTGGCATTTTATTTATAAGACTCTTATGAACACGTTAAAGTGTTGTTTGAGTTGTTTTAAGTGTATTTGAGCCTAGTATTCAAGTGTTTAAAAAATGTAGTGGAATTTCAAAAAGTTCTTTTGGAGTAGTCCAATTACTTCACATAGATTGGGGAATTTCAAAATAAATGTGATTGGACAACATTTTTTTTTCCTGGTAGTCAGGAGGATATAAGTAGCGAACTAATACTTTCTTGGAGTGCATTACAGTGGTTCAACTTTAACTTGTTAACAGACTTATAATTGTCACAGGACAGTGATTTACAACCACTGTGCCGGCACACGAGCGTGCTGTGAGAAATTATCCAATATCACTATTTTAAAAATTAACATTTAGTCATGATTTTCTGCAAATATGTCACTGTCGAGTCTCCGTGGTGTAAAGAAGGTGAAGGAGTGAATAGGAACATAAGGGCTAGAATTTAAGACTTGAGCACACCATCAAGCAAGGTAATTAATCCGACAAACTTGGCATCTTGGCAATTCTTAAATACTTGACTAGGCTTGATTGAAAAAGCAAACATGGGTGCACCGCCGAAGAGGAACGCCCTCGACTCCAGCTGATGCTGAAACAAAACAAAGACAGAACCAAAAGCATGACATCCGAGCTAGCGCATCAAAGAGAGATAAGTTTTTTACTTCTACACCACGTATCCATCTGGGTTTTTTTTAATTGGGTTAGTTGGCACAGTATAATTGCAATTGCAAGAGTTGGAACGAGGCGACTGGTCATTTATTTAGTTCGGCGTGCGTATGCCACACGAGCGTGCGCGTGCATGGGTGCGTACTGCACTTATCAATGGTTTAAGCGGCTTCTTCTTCATGTGGGTCCTCGGCAGACGAGCACTCGGAAACTTGGCTACGCTAACAACACATTTTATGCTCAAGATTTCCTCTTACGTGCCTGTAATAGTGGCGCAAATCGAACAAATGTAATCATACTGCATCCTCCGCCGTATATGGTCGGAGTAGCCAAGGGAGATAGTCTCGCACTGCTGCCACCTAGTGTTCCTTCCTGTCCACTGCATGTGATGAGAGGACGAACAAAAATTTAGGATTACATGAATTTCTCGTCCATTTTAGTTATATGGTAGATGTTTTCCATTCATTTTATTTTTAATCCAATAATTTAAATGATTCCATCGTTAAAATAGCTGGCTTGCATATTTCCTGCTCAAATGCATGGGAAGAGCAGCTGCAAGAGTCACGTGAGTCATCCCTCCCTTCTTGCTTCAAGCAAGCATGCACAAATAAATTGAGGCAAGCAGTTATTGGCCTCACACGGGAGACATTGGCGTTTCCTCATTAAATTCCCAAGAATAGACATTTTCTTACACGTCCTGCACATGCTGTCATTTAAAAATCTAATATATTTATAGAATATGTGGGACATATTTAGTCACTGTTAGGGCCAGAAAAGCATGTACATTTAGTAACAATATAACACTTAATTGTGAAAATCAGCTTTTTCCCCCCCCCCATATTTTCATGTAGTGGTATGCCGCGGGATGTTTTCAATGAAAGAAATGTGCCTTGACTCGAAAAAGATTGAAAAACACTGATCTAATTGACGGTTTTTGCAGATTGCGGACAAGATGCCATTTCTTTAAAAAATATGAATTTCTCCACCATATGGTTGCCGCCATAAAAAGAAAAATGTTTTTTTCCCAAGTCACATCCACATATTTGTGTAACAATATCGCTGTATGAATTATATTTTGGTGAAATTAAAAATATATATTTTCATCAATCACTAAACATACTTTTCCAATAATTTACCCACAAAATGGCGAGATTTGTTCATCTCCCCATTTTCCAGCAAAGGCCCAACTTCCACACTGAGTAAGCAAATGTGTGCGTTCATGGAGACGTGTCATTATTTCAGCCTCCATACTTGATTATTTTTTTCTTAATTGACATTCTGAGATTGTTCTCATGGAAAATGCCTTGGACTCAAGAAAGAATTGAAACGCTGATCAAAGTAAATGTAGTAAACGTGGTAAAAACACCATCGATCGCACACAATAAATGTACATTCAACGCTTTGCAACAAGTGTATAAAAAAACTGAAAAAAGGAATTTAATGCCAAGGCTATGACCTATACTGTTGACTGTGCAACTGCAGAATTTGCAAAAACGTGGATGGGGGCTTCTACCGACCTCTAGTGGTGTTAGTGGTGTTTTATGTTTAATGCATCCACAGGAGTGATGAAACGATTGCACTTAACCTCACCACTCCTGCTTCCGATGTACTTTGCTTAATTTTCTCCCATCATATTAGTATTTGACGTCATCATGTGACAGTTTACTAGAGGCGCGATTACGTATACTTGTTGAAAAGGTGGAAAGTTGGCTCAGCCAATCGCACCGTGCGCATGCTGAACCGCTTTCGGCGTGGCCGTTCATCAAAAGAGCTCAGCAGGGCAACGGAGTTGGTCGCACTCAAGAAAATACGGACGCTGTCATCCTGAAAATTGGTAAATTCGACATCGTTTGATCTGTTACCTTCGACTTGTGAGTGTGAGTTACTGACCTCTAGTGGTGTTTTATGTTTAATGCATCCAAGGGAGTGATGAAACGATTGCACTTAACCTCACCACTCCTGCTTCCGATGTACTTTGCTTAATTTTCTCCCTTCATATTAGTATTTGACGTCATCATGTGACAGTTTACTAGAGGCGCGATTACGTATACTTGTTGAAAAGGTGGAAAGTTGGCTCAGCCAATCGCACCGTGCGCATGCTGAACCGCTTTCGGCGTGGCCGTTCATCAAAAGAGCTCAGCAGGGCAACGGAGTTGGTCGCACTCAAGAAAATACGGACGCTGTCATCCTGAAGATTGGTGAATTCGACATCGTTTGATCTGTTACCTTCGACTTGTGAGTGTGAGTTTTATTTGGTTGACATATCCAAATATTTTGTTGGCATTATTGTTGTTTTTCCTGCAAGTACTGTACCAGCTAACATTAGCTGGCGACTGCAGTATTGAACGCCACTTGCCATCTTGTCTTCATAACGGCAAGCCCACTGCTGCTTCCGATGTCTTTGCTTAATTTTCTCCCAGTTTATTAATATTTGAGGGCATAATTTGACAGTTTACTGGAGATGAGATTACCTATGTTTGTTGAAAAGGTGGAAAGTTGGCCCAGCCAATCGTAACGGGCGCATGCTCAACCGCTTTCGAGCGCGGCGGCCTGTCAAAAGAAGCTCAACAGGGTAACGGAGTTGGTCGCACTGAAGAAAGTACGGACGCTGTAATCAAGTAGATTGATTAAATCGACATCGTTTTTGGATGTTAACTTCGACTTGTGAGTGTGAGCTTTATTTGCATGTGACAAAACAAAAGACAAAAACAACAAAAAAACAACAAAAACCGCAAGGCACTCGAAGAGCACTTGCAGACAGCTGCCTACTCGGGCGCCATCTTGGAAAAAAAATACAGTACAATACAATTAGAAAATACATAAGTAAAATATATAGATTTTAAAATGATTAGAAATAGTAATAATATAATAAAGAAGGCGAAAGTACCAGTGTTTCCACATCGGTGATTCAACAGCAGCACATACAATTCCGAGAAGCATTCCAACGACATATAAATGTGTATACACGATGCAGCTGGCGACATTATCATTTTAACATTTTCACTGTGTTACAGTTATTGCTGTTTTAATGCTTCTGAGAATATTACAGATTCATGTTCATTTCTCATCGAGCTCTCCATCTGACCTTTTTTGTCCTCAGACAAAGGTCTTTTGTGTGCCCTTGGAGTGCTTGCCGTGTTCTCAGATGGAGTATGGGAGTGTCCCTTGGTAAGTGAATACAGTCGTTTGCATGCATTGAATATTGGTCAAATTGCAAGTATGAAACATATCTCTGTTCTTCTAGCTTTCTGGTGGATGCATGCATGAACTTGCTGGATCATGTCGACACAGAGGGCCTGTTTAGAATATCTGGCTCTCTTGCTCGCCTGAAGACACTCCAGGTGAGTGATTGGTTGACTGTGCTCTCACTTAGCATCGCTGACCCTATGAAAGGTCTTTCAGACATGAATTTTTGTTGTGTATGTCCAGAAAAAATTGGAGTATGGTGAGGAGTGCCTGTCTGCCTGTCGTCCTTGTGACTTGGCCAGCCCGGTGAAGAAATTCTTCAAGGAGTTGCCAGAACCCGTGCTATCCACCAAGATGCAGGAGGCCTTCCTCAAGGTCCAGCATCTCCCCACCAAGGAGGACCGCACCTGCGCCACCATGCTGCTCTCTTGCGTCCTTCCTGACGCAAACCAGAGTGTCATGCGTCACTTCGCAGTGTTCTTGCTAAAAGTGTCCAAGAGGTGCTTACATTTTTGTGATTCTGATTCAAGAAGGACTTTTTCTCTCAATGTGCTAATCCTCGCTTTCTGGATTTGATTCCAGGAGTGCAAAGAACAAGATGGACGGCACTAACTTGTCGTTAGTCTTGGCTCCCACCCTCCTCCAGTCCAGAGGAGTTACAAAGATGGACTGCAACGCAGAGAAACACCTCCAACTGGAGATGGATGTCCTTCTCTGCTTCATAGAAAATGCCCACCACATTGGTAACAATGCACATAACTCAACTGATAGTCTTCACAGCCTCAGTCTTGTTGAGATCTAATTTCTTTGCTTTTGCTGCACGTTACAGGTCAGATGCCACAAATGCTTCAAGAGAAGCTTTCCGCCAAGATGAACTGTGAGCCAGCAGTGGCCAGTTTCATAGGTAAGGGATAGAGATGAATTAGAATACGAAATCTTTGTTGAAAGTTTAGTTTCGGCCCCATCACGTGTGTACTTTCTGTCATTAGTTGCAACCATTGCTTTTTTTTTTTTTAACTCAAGAAAATGTTTTTCATACCCGCAAAAGACCTGATATTTGTTTTCAAATAACTTGCAAAACCATGTGAACAGTTTCAATCACACATACAAAGTAAATGAGTTCATGTATCACTCAAATCAATAAGAAACCGATCTCGCATTGAATCTCCATTCTTGTTTTGTGTTACTTTGTTTCAGATAAGATCAATAGGTCCGTGATGGCAATTAAAGCGAAGCAATGGCATTGCTATACCTACAAGATGGAAAAGCAGACCTGGTTCCATCACCCAAAGGGTCTCCCTTTGTGCACTTCCTGGACTGTCGTCTCTCAACTGCCAGATACAGCAACAGACACCGAGATAATACTTTTGAAACATCGAATGAGAGATGAGAACGATTGATTGAAGTCAATTCTTACCAGTCACCAGGGGCGTCACTAGGTTTCAAGAGCAAGGGGGGCTTAGCCCCAAGGGGAACACAGCCCCTTTAGGGGGGTCCGGGGGCATGCCCCCCCGGGAGAATTTTTTTTCTACATTCTGTTAAAAATCCATCAATTCCGTGCACTTTGAGAGCAAAATGAAGAGGCTATGAAGAACTACACACATCACATTAGTATCCTCTTTACTATGATGGGGCTTCCTCCCCTGGACTTTAACTGGACTAGATAATAGAAATTACAAAGAGTTCAAAAGTTCAATCTTGGTTGTTCAAGGGAATTAGAAGGATGCCCGATAACATAACCTATATGACAGTAGGCCTATATTCCTCTCTACCAAAATGTATTAATATATGCTTAGCCCCCAGAAGACTATGTATTTTGAGATGTCTGCCGTGATATGCAATTTAAGTTAGTACAATGAGATGCAAAAGCTTCATCACTTTGGAAAAACACAAGTTTGCTGCTCAATACTTACTGTAAGCTCCGATTGCATTTTGGGAACAGCCTTGCAAGTAAAATTAGCCTTGAGATCTGATAGACTCACCTGTCCAGCAGAGCTCACCCCCGGCTCACTCTCTGTGATTCTTTGGCCTGATTCCTTTCAAATAAATAAATGTATTTATTTTATATTTATTTATTTATTTTATATAGGCCAAAATCTCAATAGGTGTTGCCTCAAAGAGTTGGTGTAATGATTATTTATGTATTTAATAATAAAATGTTGCTTAATTTTTATTAAGCACCACCTTAATTTATCCAAAAGTGAACACTTGTTACAGTGCAGTTTCTGCTGTTACTGGAGATA